CTCATGTTCGAGGACCTGCTGACTTGCAGCAGAAGGAGGACCTCCGCTGGCGTCAGCATCCGCCGTAGCAGCACGCCGCACTCCGCTTCCAGAAAATACAGGAGAATGGCCATGGTGTGCGCTCCGGACTAAACGCTCCTGATGATCCTATGGCTGCAGCTGCTTCTGTATGATGCTCAGATGCCGGTTGCGACCACGATTCTTGTTTCTGCCAGCGCGGACGGCGATGTTGAAGTCTGCTACCTCTCCACTTTCCCACGGTCCTATCTCACAGTCTACGAATCTGTACGGACAGCTGCCCTGTGACGGGTTCTGCCGTGGTCGGCTGGGATGTTATCAGGATGATGGGCGCTGCGTGTACTCGAATGTCGCACAGCGTCTGTTGCGCTGACGACGTCGCGGCTGGGCCCGGCACCGTCGGATTTCCGACGCCGGTCGAGGTGTGTGGGTCTGCTGGCTCCGCTTCTACTCGCCATTCGTAGATAAACTCATACCAGAGTCGACAAGGGAAACGATGCCGGAGGCAGCGGCGCTGCATGCTGGTTTGCCAGTCCTGCAGTGCTTCGGGCCCCCAGCGACGAGACAGGGCGCTTTGCACGAATTCTGCTAGCTCGAGATTCAGTTGCGTCTCGCCTGGGTACGGTCTCTTGTGCATGATCGTGCTGGTGCCTGCAATCCGGCTTTAAGGACTGCACTGAGCGGCTGACCGGTGTCGAGAGTCGTTTCTGCGGCATCCGTCGTGCCGTTGTATTCGCTGCCGTTATGACGGCCTTCCAACGTCCATGGTAGCGGCGACTCTGTATCTGGGCGTGTCGTTCGCGTGGAGAGTAGGTCGCTGCTGCCTTGCATTCAGCTATCGTAGCATTAATTACACGGCGTGAGATTGTCTACTCGAAGTAAATACTGGCTTCGGTCGGACGAGGTGGCGACGGTGTCCTCCTTGATTCTCGAAGTGATCCTGCCTCGGCGGTGCGCCGGCCGCCGGGTCCTGCAGTGTCTGCAGGGCTTCCGTCTGTTGCTTGAGGTAAGCAGATCCGTTCCGAGCATACCGCGTCCCCTCCTCGTCGGCGTTGTCGTGGTCCTGACTGCAACGGCACAGTATATCGCGCGAACGTGGCTGCGTGTTCGAGTCTGGGCTCCTGCACGTCCGCCCAGGCCTGTCTGCCCGAGAAAACCAGCATGGCTCGTTGGCAGCTGCTCGGGCCCTGGGTGGCAGAACCAGGCGACTCGTTGCGGCGATGCTATGTGATGTGGCACTCATGATTCGCGCTTGCATGATCTATCCGTGAGGGTCCTAGTGGCATGGCTGTCTTTCTGCGCAGGCCGCATTGGTCTTTCCTGAAACAGGCTTCAATAGGTCCCCTCGTCGTTCCGACGAGTCCTTTGCTGTGAGGCTGCTCCACCTCACTCCTTGTTCCTGTCGTCATGCTCGTCCGTCCGGTCTCCTGGCCCGAGCGAAGGCTCTTCTTGGTCCACCATGCCGGATGTCAGCGGCAGCGGGCTGGCTTCGGCTCGGAGCTCCGTCGGCATGTCGTCGCATGGCTTCGTGTCATGCGCTTGCTCCAAGGTTCTTTTCTGCGCCCCCGACCGACGCGCTTTGCCAGTTGGTCCGGTGCGAAACACCGCCCACGGTGATGTGGCTGGCAGCCGATAGTAGTCGATGCTTGGCTCGAGCTGCGTCACATCTTGCAGAGCCAGGGCGTACGTTTTCTTGTAGTTGGGCATTTCTCCCAAGTGCCGGTGCTGCGCTCTTGTGGCTTGGAAGTCTGCCTCCGTGATGATGCTGCAGTTGACGATGTTGGCTGCTCCGTGAATCTGGCCGTTGCAGCCCAGCCAAGTTCTCCCCAACGCAGCCGGTGCACCGCGGATCTCCAGAGTCTTTAAACGGTTCATGACGAGCTGCAGCCAAGCTTCCTTCATGACCATGATTCTGTCTCCCTCCTCAGGCACGGGACCTTCGCGTCGAGAGCACATAGCGCCGTTGCCTGGCGCGTCGCCGGTCCTCTCTCCTTCTTCGCATACCTTGCATCCAAGTTGGTGTGTTGGACCCCGGTTCTCTGATGCGAGCCCTGGTTCCTTGGCACCGTTTCGTCTGAGTGTTTGCCTCCTGTCTACACCAGAATCAGGCCGACCGAACGTCTGCGGCGAGTCCTGACCGAGGGCGATCGATTATGTGTAGCCCGCTTACCCGCCTGGACCTCGCGCCCGTCGTCGGCCAGGCCCGATGGTGTGTCTCTTGGGCACGTGTCGGGAACGGTGGCTTCCGCCACCTCATCCTGGTGCCGAGGATTTGAGCTTGTTGTTAACAGGAAACGTTCGTCTAAGGTCCCCGTCCTGGTCCGCGACAGTCGGCAACGGGATCTCCTCCGCGCTGTGTGCTGCTCTCTTGAATGCGTTGGCGAGGCTGTTGGCGGCGCTCGGAGAGGGGGTCGAGCCGTTGGCGGTATGCATGCTGTCGGCACCACGGCAGTTGGGCTGGAGGGCTGAGGTCCTGTTACCTTGGCTCGAGGTCTCGGGATGCTGCGCGTACTGAGTGTTCCTTGGTCACGGCTTCACTCTGCATTCCCTTTCGGGCAACGTTATGGCTCACGCCGCCATGCTTTCTTTTCGCCGTCGGTCGCGGACTGGTCTCTCCTCCCGTCTGCCGAAGGGCGGGCTCTGTGCAATGCGCCGCGCCACACGTTGCAAGGAAGGTCTGTACAGGGAGCCTCAGCGAGGATCTTCAGGAGCTCGTCTCTCCGAGCTCCACCGAGGGCAGGCTGCCGATCCAGGACACCATCTCGTCGTTAGGGGTCTGGGTGGAGTCGATGAGGTACACGGGCACGTGGAGCAGGATCTGCTCGAAGACCGACTTCAATCTGTCCCTGCCTTGGTCGTCGTTGTGAACTTCCAGAAAACGCACGTAGTCGCGATTGCCATCCGGCTGTGTTATGTGCCCACCGGAGATGTTGGCCGCATCGAAGAGTTCGCGGTACGGGTAAATGCCTCCGAAAATGCTGACTGTGTAGATGGCCTTCGCGTTGTCGTCGGCTTCGGTGTCCATATTCGTCTCCTCTGCCTGTCCCGAATCCTGGCTGCTGGTCGTCTTGACCGCAGACTGACGAAGCTCGACCTGGCACAAAACGTGGCGGCGTCCTCTTGGAGGCAGCGCGGCGAAGGCTTTCGGGCCGTGTAACGGATAGTGACTCGACTTCCAGGGATGAGGCACCGTGTCCACCGCGCCGTCTGGACTTGCGATGTGCAGGGGGGGCAGTTGCAGCAAGTGTCCCTTGGTGACCTTGTGGCTCAGCACCAGTTGGACGAAGTCCAATGCAGCTGAGACCGAAGTTGAGTACAGAACGACTTGCCAAGCTTCCAGCCCTGTCCCGTCCGGGTCCAGCGGACCATTTTGGGGCGGCGCCCCGTTCAGGAGTCGCACCTGGAGGATCGACTCCAGTTGTTGCAGATCCCGGACGTTGGGATTGGGATGTTTCTGCACCGCTTCTCTGGCAACTGCCAGCACCTGATACCCGAAAGAATTCCGTCCGGCGTGACAGATCTGGAGCTGCCACAGGGGAGTGTCTCGATCCGCACCTTCGAACACGGTGAAGGCGCTCCCCCACCTTCTTACTACTGCCGTCAGCTCGTTGCCTTCTGCGTCGCCGGTGCCGTTGCTCCGGGACGGCGTGATGTCGATCGCGGAGAAGCGCCTTTTCTTCTGCGCCTGCATGTCCTGAGAGAGAGCCATGGCTGTGTGGATCGCACGGGGCTTCGCGGCTGCGGCTGACTAGGGCTGGTGCTATTGCACAGTTGATGATTGTAGCACTGCGGTCGGATGCGTGCAGATGATTTCACATGCGTTTGTCGTGCATGCATCCTCACAGCTCGTCGGACTGTGGATTTCCAGTCAACGCAACACGGCAGCGGCCGTGCATCAGCTTTTCTTCGAGCCGCTGTCATCGCACTGGTATGCGCTGCTTCACATGGCTAGGGCACGTCGGACTCGAATTGTCTCACAGTAGTAGTCGTGAAACTGCAGGATGATGTCGTGACCCTTCTTGGGGTGCGTGCCGATGTAAGTGCCGTACTCACCTACTCTGCGCTTGGGTGCGTGGGGGGGGTGAGAAGAGGGTGTCGAACTCGTCGCTCATGGACATGCACTGCTGGGGTGCAGCCAAGACGCCGTACAGATACAACTGGGTGTTTGTGTATCCCGGTCCCATGATGTTGAATCGTGGCGTGATCCTGGTGAAGGAGCCGACGCGCTTGACATCCCAACCTCCATGGGCATTGGTGCTCGTGCCGTAGTGGGTCGTAAAGATACAGTAGGGCGATGCTCTCGCTTGCCTGTGCACCGGGTGTCATTGCTGTTTACTTCCTTCTATGTATTTGTACGTGGGTGTACAGGGATGTATACGCTACACTGGACTGTGAGTGGGGTCCGCTTCAGAGCTACGATGCTGTTGTGCGGCCCTGGGGCTGGTCGTCGCTGACCGCAATGAAGAGACAGAGGGTCAGCCGTTCCCCGTGGCGCGCAATCCTTCCACTTGGCCGGATGTGCTTGTACTCGTAGGTCCAGAACATCATTGTGATGGCGATCATCATATCGGGTCTACGTGAACTAGCAGGGGCTTCTCTTGATCAGACGTCTCACGGGGTGTATCGTGGCGCTGGGACGATGGTTGGATTGAGACAGCTGGATTGCATGTTGACATTGTCACTATCACTCTAATTATTCAGACCGTCGGTGAAGAGTGTCCGGTCGTGCGACTGCCGGTTTGCATCAGCTCCTGCTTTTCTGCATTGCAGCTCGGTTGGAATTAGATCGTTGAAACAGCCGTTGCAGTCTGGGACCGCGCGCCGGTCTCCTGCAGAGGTGACTCTGATTCTGCTCCGTCAAACAGGTGCACTCGGGGTCACGGACTGTCCTCCGACGATGGCGTTCGCAGCTCTTAAGTAATCTTCTTCTCCTGGTCACAGGCTGCTGGAGTTAGGAAGGACCGAAGAGAAGCATGCCATATTCAGTTAGGAAGGACCGAAGAGAAGCATGCCATATTCAGATCGGGCACTGTTCGTGGACCGAGATGTTGGGGGCTGGCGGGGCATGGCCGTTTCCTCCACGCTGGCGCTTGCGCCGCGCAGGCTCCGTCGGTTCCGCTCTCGGCTGCCGCAGGTGGCAGACTGAAGGGCGAAGGCTCTCGAGGTCGCTGGCAGCGTACCGTCCACATCATGACATCCTCCTTGAGTCTCCATAGCGCAGGAATGAGCGTTGCTCCGAGTTCAGGCTCGAGGTGCGATGCCAGATACATGAGCCACTGTGAGTCCGTTTCATCGAGGTGCATGTGCCGCGAGAGCTGTCCGATGGCGTGCGTGATGTCCGCTGATAGCTCTGCCGACTCGAGTGGTTGTTGTATGCCGAAACGAACGGGAACCTTGCGAATCTCGTCCATGAAGCGGGCAATCATCTGCCGAATTAGGTCCGGCTCAAAATGTCCTGCCATGGCTGTTGCGGGAGAGCTACGTGCGGTGCTAGACCCTCGCATGCAGGCTTGCTCGGACGGGCGCTTGAACAGGTGATGAAGATTTGCTCGCAGATTCGGTGGCACATCATACACGATACGTCCACAGTGAGCTGGTTTCGTTTTCTGCCCGGCACTTCCGTTGGAGAGAGGCCGGCTCGGCCTGTGCTGCACTTGTGTTGGCTGCGCCTCGTAACTCTGACTCAGGTTGAAGATAAGCGCAGCGGGGACTCGTCCCTGTTCCTGCTTCCGGCTTCGTTCGACCCGATGCTGACTTGAAACCCTATATTGGTCGAAGCTAAACCCTCCTGCCTTGTCCCTGCCTTCGTCTGCTTCGGGTTGACACCACGCACCAGGGACCCCATATCGGTCGAGGATAACGCACCTGGGACCCCATATTGGTTGAGGATAAGCGCTCCGGCCTCGTCCCCGCCTCCACCGTCTTCTCAGCTTAAAGCCATGCACCTGAAACCCCATCTTGGTTGAGCACCTGGGACCCCATATTGGTTGAGGATAAGCGCTCCGGCCTCGTCCCCGCTTCCACCGTCTTCTCAGCTTAAAGCGGACCCTAAATTTAAACCCTAAACCCCATATCGGTCGAGGATAACGCACCTGGGACCCCATATTGGTTGAGGATAAGCGCTCCGGCCTCGTCCCCGCCTCCACTGTCTTCTCAGCTTAAAGCCATGCACCTGAAACCCCATCTTGGTTGAGCACCTGGGACCCCATATTGGTTGAGGATAAGCGCTCCGGCCTCGTCCCCGCCTCCACCGTCTTCTCAGCTTACAGCGGACCCTAAATTTAAACCCTAAACCCCATATCGGTCGAGGATAACGCACCTGGGACCCCATATTGGTTGAGGATAAGCGCTCCGGCCTCGTCCCCGCCTCCACTGTCTTCTCAGCTTAAAACCATGCACCTGAAACCCCATCTTGGTTGAGGATAAGTGCTCCGGCCTGGTCCCCGCCTTCGCCTTCTTCGGCTTGAGACCACGCACCCGCGACCCCATCTTGGTTGAGGATAAGTGCTCCGGCCTGGTCCCCGCCTTCGCCTTCTTCGGCTTGAGACCACGCACCCGCGACCCCATCTTGGTTGAGGATAAGTGCTCCGGCCTGGTCCCCGCCTTCGCCTTCTTCGGCTTGAGCCATGCACCTGAAACCCCATCTTGGTTGAGGATAAGTGCTCCGGCCTGGTCCCCGCCTTCGCCTTCTTCGGCTTGAGACCACGCACCCGCGACCCCATCTTGGTTGAGGATAAGTGCTCCGGCCTCGTCCCCGCCTTCGCCTTCTTCGGCTTGAGACCATGCACCTGAAACCCCCTCTTGGTTGAGGATAAGGGCTCCGGCCTCGTCCCCGCCTTCGCCTTCTTCGGCTTGAGACCACGCACCCGCGACCCCATATTGGTTGAGGATAGGCGCTCCGGCTTCGTCCCGCCTCCGCCGTCTTCTCAGCTTCAGACCATGCACCTGAAACCCCCTCTTGGTTGAGGATAAGGGCTCCGGCCTCGTCCCCGCCTTCGCCTTCTTCGGCTTGAGACCACGCACCCGCGACCCCATATTGGTTGAGGATAGGCGCTCCGGCCTCGTCCCGCCTCCGCCGTCTTCTCAGCTTGAGACCACGCGCCTGAAACCCCCTCTTGGTTGAGGATAGGCGCTCCGGCCTCGTCCCCGCCTCCGCCGTGTTCTCAGCTTCAGACCATGCACCCACGACCCCATCTTGGTTGAGGATAGGCGCTCCGGCCTCGTCCCCGCCTTCGCCTTCTTCGGTTTGAGACCACGCACCTGAGACCCCATATTGGTTGAAGGGTAAGCGCTCCGGCCTCGTCCCCGCCTCCACCGTCTTCTCAGCTTAAAACCATGCACCTGAAACCCCATCTTGGTTGAGGATAAGTGCCTTCTTCGGCTTGAGACCACGCACCTGAGACCCCATATTGGTTGAGGGTAAGCGCTCCGGTCTCGTCCCCGCCTCCACCGTCTTCTCAGCTTAAAACCATGCACCTGAAACCCCATCTTGGTTGAGGATAAGTGCCTTCTTCGGCTTGAGACCACGCACCCGAGACCCCATATTGGTTGAGGATAGGCGCTCCGGCCTCGTCTCTGCCTCCACAGTCTTCTCGGCTTCAGACCATGCACCTGAAACCCCATCTTGGTTGAGGATAAGCGCTCCGGCCTCGTCCCCGCCTTCGCCTTCTTCGGCTTGAGACCACGCACCCGAAACCCCATCTTGGTTGAGGATAAGCGCTCCGGCCTCGTCCCCGCCTCCGCCGTCTTCTTGGCTTAAAACCATGCACCCGACACCCCATGTTGGCTGAGGATAAATGCTCCGGCCTCGTCCCTGCCTCCGCCGTCTTCTGCTTAAGAACCTGAAGTCCCGTCTTGGTTGAGGATAAGTGCTCCGGCCTCGTCCCCGCTTCATGAGAGCTAGACCACACGGCCGGGACCAGGCACCTGAGACCTCATTTTGCTCGAGGAAGAGCCGTCGTCATGAGAGCGAGACCACCCGCTTGGGACCAGGCACCTGAGACCTCATTTTGCTCGAGGAAGAGCCGTCGTCATGAGAGCGAGACCACCCGCTTGGGACCAGGCACCTGAGACCCCATACTGCTTCCCGGCCTCCGTCTTGTCAGCGGCCTCCGTCTTTATGAGAGCAACACCGCACGCCTCGGATCAGGCACCTGAGACTCCATATTGCTTGAGGATAAGGTTCCCGGCCTTGTCCCGGCCGCCATCTTTCTGGGACCACGACTGGGGATGGAAACGATGGCATTGTCCCGGCCTTCGTCTTTATGTCGTCACGGACTGGGGACACCATATTGGTTCAGGATAAGCCTGGCCTCCGTCTTTTCCCCGACCTCCGTCGTCCCGAGAGCGAGACCGCGCCCCTGGGACCGGGCACCTCAGACCCCATATTGCTTGATGATAAGCCCCCCAGCCTAGCCACGGCCTCCAGCTCTCTGGGACCACGGACTAGGGACCCCATATTGGTTGTGGAAGCCCGGCCTCCGTCTCGTCGGCGCCCTCCCTCCTCATGAGAGCTGGAGCCGGGCACCTGACACCACATCTTGCTCGAGGATAACCGCCCGCCCGGCCTCCATCTTTCTGGGACCTCGGACTAGGGACCTCACATTGGTTGAGGATAAGCCCGGCCTCCGTGTTGTCCCCGGTCTTCGTCTTTGCCCCACATCGCTTGAGGATAAGCCCCCCCACCCCTCGGCCTTGTCCCGGCCTCCATCTTTCTGGGAGCCGCGGACCAGCGGCCCCATATTGGTTGAGGATAAGCCTCGCCTCCGTCTTGTCCCGGCTTCCGTCTTCATGAGAGCGAGACCTAACTGGGCCTCGCGTGCCTCAATGATGGGTGAATGCGTTGTTGGCTACATAGGCCGCTGTACTCGACTCAGCTTGAGGACAAGCGTGGCGGCTGCGCCTCCGGACCTCTATTAATTAAGTCAGGTTGAGCACTAGCGTGGCGGCTGCACCTCCCGACCCCTAGTTAGATGGAGGATAAGCGTGGCGGTACGGTGGCAGGATTCCGTGTCTTCGTTGGAAGCTTCGCGTCTTTTGTCGTCGCGATGATGTCGACGAGTTCGGTATCTGACCTGTACAATGTTTGGCGACCAGGTGTATCGCAGCTGAACACGCAGGAGCTTCCGGAGATGGCTTCTCTGGCAGGCCGGGGAGCTGAAATACGAGCCTGCTAGCACGTGGGTGCTCGAATATACAGCACGCCTCGCAAGCCTCTGTACACAAAAAACACCACTGCACATGCCATCATACTCTTGATTCGGGAGTCGGGCATTATGGGAGCGAACCCGGTCCTGTAGAAGAACTCGGCGTGTGCTTCGGTCAAGACATCGCTGAGGGCGGCTCCCACGTCCCTGGAGGTCTTGGGCCAGGCATTCATTACGAGCACTGCCTCACTGGGTGTGAAGCGGCCTAGGCCGAAGTCCTCCATCCAATGTAGCAGGTGTTCGACCGTTCCCAGGGTCTGCAGGGGGTCGTCAGGACTTGGTGAGGTCCAGGTTTTGCTAGAATGGACGGTTACTGGTAAGCGGAAGCCGGGAAAGCGCAGTTGAGTGCTCCGCAGAGAAGCCATGATTGTCCGCAGCGCAGCTACGTCCGCTTGGAGTCGGAGTGCCCAGAAAAGGTTCCTCATCGGCAGGGATCTCTTTAGCTGTAGCAGCAGCAGGAGCTCCTCTGCTGTCAGCATCTGCCGTGTCGAGGTGCCCCAGTCTTCTTCTAGACAGTGTACGAGCGTAGTCACGTTCATTGCAAAGACGGCCTGTGCACCCGTTGAGCACTACGACATTCTCTGAGCACACTCGGCGGGGCAAGGCGAAAGATCAACACTGAAGTTTGGATGAGTCGGCATACTGTGCGAGCAAGGGTATATGCGCAAGTTGTGCTGTTCTCTGCTGCGACAGGCATTTCTTCATGAAAGGGCGAGACTCGCCGAGCGTCTGCGCTTGCGCTTGCTCGGGCTTTCCCGTATCTCTACAGGCATGCGAGCCATACGCAAGCAGTGCTCACGTCGTAGCCAGACCACCGCACCTCTCGCTGCCCACGTCGGCACCTGCTCGCATGCAGGTGCCGTGTGCTGGTGTGCGGTAAGACAGGCCTGAAACGGTGTTCCATGCCGCTGGACGTCCTGCAGGGTCCACGCATAGGTTTTGTCAGCATCGTAGTTGAGAGCCTGCACGCCCGGGCTTCAGGTTTTGATTGTGTGATGCAAGGCTGGGCGCCTGCAGGATATCCGCAAAAAGGACTTTCTCCCGGACCGTGAGTTGGTGCGACTCTTTGATGACGGCAGTGCCGCGAATAAACCTACTCCCTGTCTCCATCAGGCTGATCGTGTTCATCTCGAGGTAGGGCGGACATGGTTTCTTTCGGAGCTCGATCGTTTTCGTTCCTGCAGTAGGTCTCGCAATCTGGACTGGAGCCGGTGCGTTGAGTGTGTGGCTTCGAGGGCCCGCGCCTGTGAGTATCTGCTGCAGCCACGCAGGGCGAATCTTGAGCGCATACGTGGTCTTCCCGAAGGCCAGGTTGATTCGCTTCTCGTCGTCTGGAATGCCTGACACATGCACAACTCTGTTCTTCCGCGATCGTGCCCGAATGCTGTACATGTGGAGGCCAGCCTAGTCGGTCTGTTGCTGGCATCTCTGTACTGCCGGGTTCGTGCGCTAACTGCCGCCGGTACTTTGGCTGTGAGGACTCGGTAGCTGCGGAAGACGACATGAAGTGCAACTCTCCTTCGGTTCGCATGTGTCGGCCAGGTGCTGTAAGTGGCAAGGTTACAACTCCTATACTCGCGCTGCGGAAGTTGCGTAGCGGCGGCTCGATTTCATGCTGCACCCGTACAGTTGCTAGACCTGTCTCTCTTGGTGTGATACGCTTTGCCCGTGCTTGATTTACTCGATGACAGGCTCTGGAACGTATCGGTCGAGACACTTCCAATGGGCCGGTACCGGTACGCGGCGGCCATTGACTGGCCTTTGCCAGCACTTCCACTGCGCCGGCACCGGTAAGTACCGGCCGTTTGCTGGTTTCTGCCACACTCTCACTGTTGCCGGTGCCTGCACGCAAACTCGATTTGTACGCACAATGTTGGGCATGCACCGCACGCACCCCGCCTTAGCGGTGTTGGAATTCGTGGTGGGTGTGCAGCTGTGTCGTGCCTCGATGAGCGTACGTGCAGGGCTGGCAGTCGTCGGAGCAGCAAAATAACCGGGGCAACACGCCTTCTGTGTTGGCCGAGGTCTCGATTTGGCTTTGGCCGCTTTTAGAGCGCACAGTGCGAAGGCCTGGCGGTTGGCAGGCATGTATAATCCTTCCGTGTACATTAAGGTGGTTAGAGCCCATGACAATTTCGCCTTCGGCGACATAGTCGGTTTCGGCACGGAGACCTGTGTCGTCCCACGTAAGTTCAGTCATGCTAGCGCGCTATCCTCTTTGCAGATCAGCCTTGACCAGCTGGACAGATTCAGCAGTACCCTTGCACCCCAGTTCGCCTGGCGGACTATTCAGCAACTTGGCCTGCCTGGACTGATTTCCTATGTGTTCTTCCTTTGAGGTGACACTTCCGCTGGCCTGGCATTGAGTATGGTGTCGCCCCAGCCGGCATGCCCATGTCCTTAGCGCGCTTGCCGTGACGAGTCGTGGTGTTCGCGTTGTGGGGGCTGAGCTTGGCGCGCAGGTAGAACGAGACTAGACAACAGCCCCTAACGCCGCAATATGGCTTTGCTGATTGAGCCGAAAGTAGCGTGCCCTCGTCACCTTTCATGTGTATGACTGTTGTGCGCTTCCGTATGGGCGCAAAGCAAAACCCCAAAGGCTCCATGTATCGTCATAGCCGATACTTGGGCAAAATTGTGCTGAGCGGACACATTGTGCCCAGACGTTACTTGAGATTTGGAGGGGTTTGAAGCCATGCCTATTGATGGGTTTGGGTATGGCGATCTCGAAGGATTAATGACACGTTTTTGCAATTGATCATCAAGTGAAACGGCATTATTGTACGACTTGCATTAGGGTTTCACGACCTCGCTCGATGGGTTGGGTTTGCCTGGGGTTTGACGACCTCGCTCTTGATGGGTTGGGTTTGCCTTTCACGACCTCGCTCTTGATGGGTTGGGTTTGCCTGGGGTTTCCCGACCTCGCTCTTGATGGGTTGGGTTTGCCGTCGATGGATTTTCGAGGGTTTCGACACCTATATCGACCTGATTTTTACTTTGTCTCGATGTACTGGGCCGGGGTTATTTGTCTTTACTGTGTCACAATATTTTATATATGTCCGTCTTCTTTCCTGTGTGTGTGTGTAAGTGTGTGTGTGTGTGTGTGCCTGCACGTTGGTGTGTAAGTACAAGTGTAGGTACTGTATATAAGTACTGTAAGTGTAAGTAGTATGTGTGTGTGTGTGTGTGTGTGTGGTGTGTGGTGTGTGTGTGTACCGCAGCAGTACTAGTACTGTGGGTCGGTGGTTAGTACTAGTAATACTAGTACTAGTGTAGGTCTGGGAATTCGTTTGTAATATAATTATTGTATATAATATGTACAGGTGTGTGCTGCTTTTGTACTGTGTGTTCTCGCGAATGAGCTTATGCACGTGTAACGTCTACATCCGCCGTGTTCTGCAGGAGGAACCTCGAGCAAATGTGTGTATACAGCATGTCTCGGTACTAGCTAGTATAGTACTAGCTACGTATAGTAGCTGTGCAGTACATGTACAGCAGTACAGATCGCTCGCCTGCAGGTGGAGCCTGGATACATACATATATATATATATGTATGTATGTATGTATATATTATAGCTGGCTATAGTGCAGGTGCACGCCTTATCTGGCACACACTCGCTCGCTCGAAGACATGTGCCTGTAGCTAGACGTGTGTACATGTATGGGCCGTATGGGGTATATCATGTCTAGAGCTCGGTTCCATAATTGACTGCATTTTTACAATGCCGGGCCGCTGGATCATGCTTCACGAATGTTCGTCGAAGCGAAAGGCAGGTGCGCCCACCCCTATCAGCTGCCAGTACGTGCTGTGAGTGTGCAGTGGCCATGCATGCAGTGATCGATTGCAATCCTTGCCCTTGCATAGCTCATGAATCTGCAGTTTTCGGGGCCGAGCGAGCATGTGCACGGGTGCATGGCAGTCCAGATGTTTGCAATTCGGTCTGCAAGTCTTCGGGGCCGATCGCAGATCTAGAACACTTCAGCTTAAGCTTCTATGCATCACATGCCGATCGGGCTGGGTTCAACGGTTTCAAGAGGTGAAGGATCCGCTGCCAAAATGGCAGAACCAGAGTTCAAGTTCCTCGATGGTGTGCGGCGGTCTGCTCAAGGCGAATTAATCCGCGGTAAGCAGGTTATACGGCCCCTGCGGTTTTTCGTGAGTGAAACTAGTCAGCATATGATTGCACCGGATGCACATCCTGATATGCAGATCGAACGTGTTCCGAATCCCAGGATTCGGCAATGAGAATCGTGGCATGCCTCCGCCCGCTGGTGGAGTCCCGCTTGGAGGAGCTTCGGCAAGACAAGGCGACTCGAGTTGCATGTTCCGGCTGGTGTGCTTCTCTATATGTCTGCTAGCTGCTTCTATTTCTATTTTGGATCAGAAGCCCAGGCTACCAAGCTGGTAGATGTCTTCGACACGAACATTTCGCAGCATGATATGATGTCGAAGAAGAACTTTGAGGTCATGAAATGCTACGGGGCTCAGCTTTTCCACAACGTGGAAGAAAGGAAACAGCTCATCTCGATGAAAGAGCACCGGGCTGCTGTCCTTTACTTGTCTTGCTGCTACAATCTCCAGAAGGTTTCGAAGGGTAGCAAGCAGCGGGTGAAGGATTGGGCCGAGCTCCAGGGGACACGGTTAAGATGGCTGGCTGCATATGTTGTGCAGTCAGTCTGCCGGACCAGCCAGTCGAGGACTGCCGGACCACGCAGCTCATGATCACCATTGATCGTTCATGCATATTTATCGAATAATATATCGATATCGCAGGAGTGACGAGATGAAAATCCTCAAGGGGATTTATTTGGCCGTGAACGGCCGCTCCCTTCCCGAGAAGCCAGAGCGCAGATCCTCGGAGTCGAGTCTGAGCTCGGAGGTGCTTCCATAAAGAACACTATTAAGTACTATATCTACCATTTCTGTGGCTTTCCATGCATATCTAGACTTTTCCTTAAGCCCGGCAGGTGATCGACCTCGATGATTGTGCCGACGATGACGAGGAGGCCGGAGATATCTTTGAAATCTTCGATGAGGATGAGGAAGCTTTTGGACCGCAACATATTTCGTTGTGGCTTCGTGCTTTCGGAGGTTGAGTGTGTGTTTGAATGTGCGGTTTGAGTTGGTCGGGGGATCCAAGGTTCCCGGCGAAGAGAAACCGACGCCATCCGATGAGATTGGCGAGGCTAGAGCCAGGGGTTCAGTTGCTGCAATGATTTGAGTTGAAAACATATTTCAAGTGCAGGACCGTCTGGGTGTGGATTCCGATTGCCCACGTCCCGAGTTGCATGGCCAGGTGCACAAAATAGTTGTCTGAGTTTCAATGCAAAATAGGCTAAGCTTTAAGGGTTTCCTGGGTTTACGCGGGTTTCAATCCGCAGCAGGCTGGAGTGCCAAACGATGGGTCACAGATGATCATCGATGACGACAGCGAGGATGATCGTGAAGCTGATGAGGAGGGGTCAGTGCGAGTGGTATTGAATCGATGAAGCAAAACCTTAAGCTTGAGTTTTCATGTAGATCCGATCCAGGGGACCATCCAACTGAAAGCGGAGCTGGACCGGGCACTGGACTCACGGCTGCATTGTAATGGGGCTGCCGGGGTTTCAACTGCTGATCTATTGAAAACATATTTCAAATTCAGGACGCTCTGGGTGTGAATGCCGATTGCCCACTTCTCGAGTTGCATGGCCAGGTGCACAAAATAGTTGCTTTAGTTATCTTTAGACTAGTCTAGGGCTTTCGTGGGTTTACTGTACATGTGGGTTCCGTGTTCCATCCGCAGCAGGCTGGGAAGCAAGATGCTGGGTCAAATCTGGTCACCGTCTGCAGTGACAACGAGGATGCTCCTGAAGCTGACGAGGATAGAACGAGTGGTGTTAAGATCATGATGAATGAAGCACGACCTTGGTTTTTTCATGTAGTTCCGATACAGGAGACCATCAGACAGAAAGATCTGCTGAACCGGGAACTGGACTCACGGCTGCATTGTGATGGGGCCCCTGGAACATTTTCATCAACCTCGAAAATCGCAAGATTTACCGTTTTCAGGAGGATCGACGCCATCGACACCATGGGACTTTCAGGATTCAAGAGCTGCCCGACTGGCTGCTGAAGGACTGAAAAGCCAGGGGGACGAAATGTGTGAATCACTTATATAATAATATACATGCCAGCCGCACTTCTGCACGCAAGGGCCCCGATGCTTCGACTTCGAGAGCTGAGGCCACGTGGATTGTATTCGATCATTATTATGTATGTGCAATAATAAAATATATTCCCGATCGCCAATCCTAAGAAGCCGTAGACCCTAGTGCTAGCATGCTCGTATACGTAGTGATGAATCATGCATCATGTGCTCGAGCTCCTTGGGCCTAAGGTACGTGATGAG